GTACTTTGAAGCCCTGAATGGCGCAGTGAAGTTATTTTCATTATTACTTATTTAACAACTAATTCCGGCTTGGCCTACAACTAAAACATATTTGGTGCGCATTTATTAACTTATTTTAAAGTCTAAGTATCTGGCACCACCTGTAGGTAGATTTATTTATTGCTTGTATTAATCCCTGTCATATCATATTTCATCCAACGACTGTGGCGCTTGCTCTTTCTAAAAAAATTCTCTTTAACAACTTAAATTGCTTTACTAGCGTCTAGGGGACCATTAACCTATGCTCGTCAATATTTCAAAATTCTATGTCCCTTGAATACATTTTTGGCCAACGTTTATTCGCCAGCCATACCTCAAATTTTGTGTCGCCTATTACCTGCATATTATTTTGATTGTCTTATTTTGCAACTGCTTAAATTCTATGTTTGCATACTACGATTATCTCCATTAATAGTTTCATATGTTCGTCCTCTATTATATTATATTTAAGCGAATTCTAAAAACGATTTCCAAATCTGCCTCCTTACTCCTTCTGTTGTATATTTCACCGCATGCTGGCATAGTTAAAGCGGTTTAACATGGATTCTCAGTATTTTTTTCCGAAAGTTCACTACTTGGTAGCATTTACTCAGTCTGTCATGTGGTCATAGCCTTCACTGAATAGACTGGTGCTAAACGTAGCTGTTGTTTAGGTCTGATGCAATGTCTCATTACTTATGTTTTATTTATAGGACTATTTTGTCTTGTTTTATGTTCACCAAATATGATCATCCAAATTCCTTTCCATTATAGTACTCTGTTATCTCAATTAACCAATCATCTGGTAATCTGTTGAGAGGTCTTTCATTTTAGCTTATGTTAAAGATGTGGAATTTTCTGTGATTACATATATTCTAACTTTTCTTTTATCTTCAGCTCTGGGATATTCGTGATGGACAATGCAAACATACCTTTCCTGGACACGAATCCGATATCAATGCGATAATATTCTTTCCTAGCGGACATGCCTTTGCTACTGGCAGTGATGATGCTACCTGTCGGCTCTTTGATATCCGAGCTGATCAGGAGGTCGGAATGTATAGTCACGACAACATAATTTGCGGTATTACTAGCGTAGCTTTTAGCAAAAGTGGTCGTCTCCTTTTGGGTGGCTATGACGATTTCAACTGTAACGTTTGGGACACCTTAAAGCAAGAAAGAGCAGGTTGGTTTATTTTTTTCTTAAATCAAAAAGTTAGGCTAGCAGGAAAATAAATACAATAGTCATATCCTAAGAAAAATTTCTATTTCTGTGACTACCGTATGCTCTGAATTACTCAATGAGACTTTATGCTGATACGGCATAAAACTGATATGCTTGCCAGTTGTATTGAGTAGTTAAATTACGTCTACTCATTAAATCACCTTATTGTTGTCCGCTTATATTTTCTTGTTAGGATGCCTTAACCTGGATACCGTATGCTCTTACAATCATGTTGCTTTAATATTAGCCAACTAATTCGACGTGTATTTTTTATTATCATTTTGGTACCATTTTGAGGCTCCCAAATATCTTCATTTTCTCTTGCTTAGTCCCCGCTTTTCTACACTTCATTTTACTGAGGTGGCAGGGTCTTATTTGGAATTTTTATGCATAGTTTTACTTCAAATTCTTTAATTCAGTCCTTTGTTAATTTTCTCTGTTTTATAAACATTCCATAACATCCGAATTTGTCTCTAGCAGCTAAGAACTTCCATTTTACATCTTAGTGTTATTTTCATCATCAGAAATTCTCTTAATATAGGAGCGGCGAAAATTATTTGATGCTAGTGAGCGATGAGCTCGAGGATTTTTAAATCCTTATTTTGCTAGTCTTATCATTGCCACGCCATTCTACCGAGATATATTATTGTTCTTTACTTCACTTAAATTTCACAGTATGCCATAAATGAATTCACTTACTACTTGCAATGCTCGAATAGCAAATATTTATGTGACCGAAGACACCTTTTCTGAATGCCACTGTATCCTATTTTCATGTATGCTAAACCTTTTGGTGCCTTCTGTTTCGCGTTGAGTTCTGAGCTTTGGTACATCATGTGACGGACATCGTCGAAGCAGTACACCATGGTTAACGTTAATTCACCAAAACACGAAGGCAAGGAAGACAGCCGACTTCAAACTTTTCTTATATTCCAATCTGGTCCACAGCTCATGTTTTGGTTGGATGTCCTATGCTTTGCCTCTATATTTGCTCATAAGTTAAGTGGGTGCAGCTGAAATCTAACAGTTGCATCCTTCCCCAAAACACTTATCCCTTTGATACTACAATGTTACCGCATGTGATTGCGTCCCATTGCACACGTGTTGTGTGAGTGCATTGCTCTAAATGAGTGTGATGTGAGAGTCAAAACCAACATAAGTATCCCTTCCAGTCACCTCTTCAAACGAACAGAAAGGTACTCCAACATTTATCTGTTAAGGGATTCTTCGAAACCTTGTTTTTCTACATAACTAATTGTAGAATATATTTTTACTTATTTCCGGTTTTGCTAACTCATTTCCTTCACTTAATGGGCGTTACTTTATAAATAATTAACTTCCTCAATAAAACAGGCTAATTACATCTCATATCTCATTTAGTGGTAGTTTATAAAACCTGCTTATAAATGAAAAATTAGTGATATTAGTCGATTGCTTAACAAATACATCTGCTTCACTGACAATCCCACCATATAATTTAATATGGGAAAAGGTCTGGCCTTCCTGCCCTGTCACCCAAGGGCACTCGTGACAGTTTAGTGGAATATTTAGGGTGTCGAAATTATACACTACACTATCGCGGTTGGAGTCAAGTTGGGGGTGCTGGTGGTGCCTAGATGAGGACAAGACTGCAGTCCACTCTGGATAAGAATACCCTTAAGAAGCAAGGCTATGTGAAATCCCATGGAAACGTAACGTTAATGTCATATTCTTGTGGAAAAATCCAACTACTAGTCCTTACCATTTAAATAGGATGAATACATCTCATGTTCATTTATGATTTCCTATTTTAAGGCTTTCCAACTGCAATTTGTTAAGTATACTATATTTTGGTTTTAATTTATTTCAAATCAATTTTTTTTCTCCAATATTAATTTTTCGTACCATAATATATTATTGCATTTGTAGAATTTCCCACGGTTATGTATTCAAAAAACCCTACTTTAATTCGAAAAGAACTTGTTCGGATTCAAATCAATGTTGCCACTCCATTTTTCATCACTAATTTGTAGTCTGAATT